TATATATATATATATATATATATATATATATATATATATATATATATATATATATATATATATATATACACACATACACATTTTACTAAATATTTTTTTAACACAATTCATAAGACTATTAGTTAATCAAAGGAACTCTCTGCCACAAAATATCAAGGCCAAAAGCTTAGTTGGAGTTTTTTAAAAGTAGACGTGTATATGGATAATGACATCACCCATATTTATATTATAGAGGATAAAAAAGAAAAGGGATATAAACTATCCCTGATCAGATTTAGGGAGAGTCTTTCCTTATGAGCAGGTTGTTTCAAAATTGTCTATTAAAATCTCCTTGCATCTTTCTCTGAAGCATTTGGTACTGTCCACTGTCAGAAACAGAATACAGGACTAGATAATCCAGCAAGACCATATTCCTGTTTTCCTAAACTTGAATGAAACTATTTATCTTTTAAATATGACACGGACACTATGAACACAGAAGACCAATGCTCCAAACCCTCAATTAGCTTCCTGTTAGTTATCACATGCAATTCACTGTGCTAATGATTAACTGCAATGAACTAAACAGAATGGAATTCAACTCCCCCGGGACAGCTTCCTGTCCTCATCCGCACAGCTCAAATCTCCTTGGTCCCAGGGTTAAACTCCAGGTGACATGAGAAAAAAATTTATGGAACTTCCATTCAGTCTAACAAAGCCCATGTTAAATAGCCTTTAGAATGCAGAACATTATGTACTTGTTCAAACTAGCTTTTTAACTGAAAAAAAATTATTGTTCATAGTTGGACATTGGTGGAGGAAGAGAGATATTTGGCTCTGTGGTCATAACATTCAGCCTTTGATATAGTATTTTATTTTGCATTTACACGAAGATATCTAACAAGTGAATTAAAAATAGATTATAAAAATTACTAAACCTCTCTAATGAGGATTAGTGGCAATGTTTCAGCAGCCTTATTGTAATTTTAAAACTTGTTTTTAAAATATAGTTTATATATATAATAGGTGAAATATTTTGCCAGTACCAGGGCTCACAGAAGGCTCTAACGAACACCTACACCCTTTAGGTGTACTGGATCTTATGTAGGCTCTGTCACTAGGGTAACTTTCATCCAGTGAAAATGTTTCTGCTTAGTTGAGAAAAACTGGCTCAGATTTCTTTTCAACACAACAATTGTATGATGTCTGTACATAAATTTTTTTCTTGCAACACATCCTTTTGTAGATGTATATACTTACCATTCTAGGTAATTCATTGCCACCTCACCATTTGTCGTCAATATCACAATCACAAGTCTATAGGTTCAGTGGCAATTTTAGGGCAATTACATAGAAGATGGTATGTGTGGAGCCTCAGGATTATCACACAGGATTGTGTCTACCTGAAACACAATTCCTTCCAGATCTTTTCTGAGGATACAGAGGATGTGTAATCTGCTCCATCCATTAGGCTGGTGTGGGAAAGGGGTGAGCTTCAGACTATGAACCTGCCTCCTCGATGCTTCTTTTTTAGCATCTTGCTCCTGGTGGAATGAAGTGGGAAGCAGGAGCAAGCAGTCTCTGTCCCAGAGCCCAGAGATTGGTCCTGTGGGAGGTCCTTGCACTGTTACACAAGAGGACACCCCTTTTGCACATTCCTTCATATCTGTGCAAGGGTCAATCACTGTTCTCCTTTTATTGTACCATCCTATGAAGAGGGTTAAGAAAATTCCTTTGTAAACAAAATAGATCTTCTTTGAAAAGTACCACACATTTAAAAGTTAACGGGTTAATTTACAATTTATGGCTATAGCATGAAAAAATAGGTCAACTTACCTACAGATACCTTTACACTTTCACCCTGTGTTGATTGTTTCCTTCTTTCACCATCGGATACACTTTGAGAAGTGTGTTTATAAGGATATATTGAAGGTACTGGTAAATAATCTCTTTTATTGATTTTTTTATATTTACTATTCACAGTTTGTTTGTTTGATACAGCAGCTCTTCTAGCTTTAACATTTAAATCCTTTCGAGCACAGCTTAAATATTTCTGTTTTACCTCCCATGAAGTTGACATGCTATGTGTCACCATTTTTCCCACGTGTCTTGAAGACTTTGCTTGTCCTATTTCTGGTGTAAATAATGCCTGTTTAACACTTACAGCATACTTTGTGGTTGGAAAGACAGAATTTAACTTTGTAGGTTCTACATGGTCATTTCTGGATGAATATTCCAACTCTTCCACTCTAAACACAGTACTTTCTTTTTTAGGTATATGTACTTCAACCGGATTCCCTCTCCATTTCTGTTTTCTAGAAGCTTCAGTTTTAAAAATATCTTGTTTTCTTTCATGAGTTCTAGAAGAACCAGTTTTATATATTGACCACTTTTCCTGCACATTTTCTTTGCCTCTTTGCAAGATCATTGCTTGTGTAGATCTCTGATTTTCATCAACAGATTTTGGAGTTGCTTTAGTTCTTTGCTCTTTACCTTGAAGTATTACTTTGATTCCTACTTCAGGCAAGCTATTAAACAATACATCCATGCTCCCATTATTTTTGTCTGATTTTCCAGTTGTGTACACTCCATCTATGTCTTTCATATTTGGTTGACCCTTTTGTAATCCTACTGATCTTTGTTTCATTGAGTTTAAAATGTTTTGTTTTTTCTTGTAAGGCCTAGTCGACATTCTTTCTGATTTTCTTTTCCAACTGCTTATTCCACTTGGTATATTGTTTACAGATCCAGTTATTTCCTGAAACTCTTTAGGTATATGTCCATATTTCTGAAGTTTAGTATGTTGACTTTTCTTTTCTGCATTTATTAACACTTTTCTTGCATCAGTTAATATTTTATGCTGATCTCTGCTGATTGCACCTATTCTTTCCCAGTCCCATGTTTTAGAACTCTTTTCAGCTAATTCCTTTTGTTTGACAAATGCTAAAATTCTTTCATTGGTACACTTATTTTTTTCCTTAGTCATTATTTTAGTCTGATTTTGACTATTTTCATTGACCATCTGATTTTTTACTAAATTTAATACCAAAAAGCTTTGTAAGTCTTTCAGATTTTTTCTGCAACATTTTCCTTTAACAGTTGATAGAAAATTTGCTGTCAAAAATGTATTAACCAACGATGACTTAGTTCCAAAGCATTTGTTAAATATACCAGAATTGTCACACAACTTTCTTTGTGGTTGCTTTCTTTTATTTGCAGTTTTCTTTTCAACAATTTTAAATTCATTCTGTAGATGTGAATTAATTTTGTGTTGACTTATCTTAGTATTTTCAGTTTTCCCAAGCTTTAGGATCTTTCTTGCTTTTTCTATTAGCTCTGCATTTGTTTCAGTTGAAGTTATTTTTCCACTTCCTGTCCACTTTTTGGAAACTTGTGTTTTTATGCCTTCACTGGTAATTAGTTGTGGCTTGTTTTGATTCATGAAAATGTTTACAATGTTATTTCTGAGTAGCTTCCATTGGTGCTTGTATTTGTCAGTTTTTCTTCTAGTTGCTTCTGATTTTGTTTTAAATTTTTTGTAATTTCTTCCAACCGTAGAAGTGTTCTGCCAAAAACCATGAGAAATTAGATTTTTTTTCAATGTTGATTGTTCTGGGTCCACAAGTTGTGATGTTTTATTTGAAGAATTGTTTACTGTTACCATTGATAGTAGCTGACACTCTTTTATATAACCTGCAACACCAGCAATAAAATAATTCTAATTTTTTACAAAATAGATACTAATATATAATTATAAAAAAGCTTAACTGTTCCAGTAAAAATTGGTTTTGACTTGAATTAATTTTGAAGGTTTGAAAATGACATTTCATACAGGCAGTGTACAATTTTTTTTAGCAATATATTAAATGATAAAAGGTTGTGTGCCTCACAGAACTTACTGTGCAAAGCTCACTGAAGTCAATAGGAGTCTTTCGATTGCCTTCATGGGCTTGTTTCAGGCCACACATGTACATATGTATCTCCTAAAATGTGCATTGAACCTCTTTCATTGCACAGTGACGTGCACACTGAACAAGATATGGGTCTACAGAAGCCCAGTTGTGTTATAACGTGCACCTTCCTCAAAACTGAACATTCTAGTGGTATCTAGGTTGACTTTTTTTCTTTAAAAAGAAAATCTAGGAAATTCTATTAACATAACTAAAGTAAGTAAATATTAAAGTTTTCTGGATAAGCACTCAAATGTCACAAAACACCAACGTAAAATGTTGCAGAAACAAAATTAATTCTAGCGCCTGTTACATATGCAACACCATATGCAGCCAAACTTTTAAAAATGGCCATGAATTTTGAGGTGCAATTTGAGACCTGCTCTTTCAAAACTACTAAGCACCCACAAATACAACTGAAGTGAATGGGAGCTGTGGATGCTTCTGAAAATCAGGCCTAAACCATCTCCAGTTGGGCTCCCAAAAGTAGTGGCTGTTTTTTATAAGTTTGGCTTTAGATTCTTTGCAATGCCCTTAATCTCAGTTTCTTTCTTAACTCTGCCCAACAGACCCATATTCTTCACAGGCTTCCTGTTTCTAATCTACTTGAAAACATTTTTATTATTTGTTTGTGTATTTGGCTATTTGCTTCAGATTCTCCCCTAGCCCTCATAGTTTACATTTTTCATGAGCATCTAAACTGAGATTCCTGGACCTCCTCCACTACCCTATATCGCTGATTCCATGGACTCCTCCCTTGCTTTCACCAAAGGTCTAGAAGTCAGTCACTTCTGAAGTGATTAAAGTCTCCACTGGACACTAGTTACTTGAGAAGGGAATGGTTTCTACCAAAGAGCTGCTTCTGGATCCTGCTGCGGGGGAATAGATGGAGTTGCTAACAGCCATAGGGCTACAGCGGTTCTCAAATTGTGGGTCAGGACTCCAAAGTGGGTTATGATCCCATTTTCATGTGGTTGCCAGGGCCAGCATTAGACTTCCTGGGGCCCACGGCTGAAGCCAAAACCTGAGCCCTGCCACCCTGGGTTGAAGCCGAAGCCCAAGGGCTTCAGCATGGGACAGCAGGGCTCTGGCTCCACCCCCCACCCCAGGTCATGTAGTAATTTTGGTTGTAAGAAGGGGGTTGCAGTGCAATGAAGTTTGAGAACCACTGGGCTAGTATGTTTCTGATCAGTGGAACATCCACCCTGCTCTGACTGACAGAAGGGAGATGTTTTATGTTTCTTCTCCCCCTCCAAAGCTCCTAGCTGCTGCAAGGGGAAGGGTCTTCCTCCACTCTGCTGGCCTGTTTTTTGGCTCCTATTCCACCATGGTTACTGTTCCTTGTAGTTTTTCCCAAGCAGCAGCATGAAAGTAACACGATTCTTAGCACTTTCACTGCTGCTGACCACAGCCTCCTTAATTTCATTCTGCTTCAGTTTGCAAAGCGGTGAGTTTGGACACTGACGGGGGTCCTCCTTGTGAGCACTGCCTCTGCTTGTGAATATTGACGGAAGGCTCCATGTCCCCATGGGTACCCATTCATAAAGTATAAAGGGAGGGGGCCCATCATCAAGGGACATGGTATGTCTGATCATCACCCCAAAGCCCTTGCATTTACAGGGGGCCCCATTCACAGACATGGCCCTGGGTCCTCAGGTCCTCACTCAGCATGGACACTGGACCTTTATCACTTCTCTAAGGACGCATCTTCTCTAAGGACCGACTCGGGTCGCACAGGGGGCTCCTTTCCCCCTCCTCGATCAGCTTCAGGCACCGGGGAGCATCACCGACCAGTAGCCGACCGACCCTCGTGCAGGGGCCGCTATTTGGAGCCTCCATCCCTGTTCTCACCTGGCCACAGCTCCCACAGGGCAAGGAGTCGACCCAGCGGCGGCGGCGGCCGGCCGAGCGCGGGGAGCCTCGCGGCTAGCACCAGGGCCAGTACTACCGACACGAAACCTCCGGCCCTCCGCATGACGCCCGCCTCCGCGCCCGCCATGGACTGCGGGTGGGAGGGGCGGCGGCGGGCCCCTTGGGGAGGGGCAATTCGGACTCTAACTGCCGCCCAGGAAGGAACGAGAATGAGCGAACGCCATAAACCTAGCGGCCGGCGCTGCCGCCGGCTGGCTGGACCCGGCCTTTGACGGAGAAAACGCCTCGAGCTCGCGCACCAGTGGGAGGGGGACGGGAAAGCGGCTCCTGAGCCTCGAGCCTGCTGGGGGTAGGGGTAACGTCTCCGTCTCGCGCCTCCGGGGGTGGGGGCAGCGCCTCAGCCTCGTCCCTCTAGGGGTAAGGTAACGTCTCAGCCTCGCGCCTCTGAAAAGGCGCGCGCTTGGCATTGCCTATCGGGGAGCTGCGTGGGGGAAAGGCCAGCAGCGCCGCTCGTCTCAGGCGAGGGCACTAGGGTTAAGGGCAGTGTATTCCCGCCTTCGCGCACTGATGTCCGCCTGACGCTCTTTGCCCGGGAGGGGAAAGCTGCCTGTCCCTCGGGTGTGTGACGCTTGATGCCCGCGTAACCCATGGCAGGGTGAAGGGGGAGTTTGCATCTCTCCTCCTGCAATCAAGAGACCCCCCCCCCAACAAAGCCCCATTTAGAGGGTGAATGGGATCTAGCTTGTGATACACCACATAGCTCTGTTGCCGCACAATCCCTCACATTACCCCATCAGTCAGCCAGCACCAGGGATTTCCCTACACCCCCCCCCCTGAATTTCCCCAACACCCCCCCGCCCCAATTTTGTGAACTAGGTACATGCAGTGTTGCCAATTTAGTGATTGGAAATTTGGATTGAAATTGAAACATTAATACACACTTTTCATAGATTCATAGAATATCAGGGTTGGAAGGGACCTCAAGAGGTCATCTAGTCCAACCCCCTGCTCAAAGCAGGACCAGTTCCCAACTAAATCATCCCAGCCACGGCTTTGTCAAGCCAGGCCTTAAAAACCTCCAAGGAAGGAGACTCCACCACCTCCCTAGGTAACGCATTCCAGTGCTTCACCACCCTCCTAGTGAAATAGTGTTTCCTAATATCTAACCTGGACCTCCCCCACTGCAACTTGAGACCATTGTTCCTTGTTCTGTCATCTGCCACCACTGAGAACAGCCGAGCTCCATCCTCTTTGGAACCCTCCCTCAGGTAGTTGAAGGCTGCTATCAAATCCCCCCTCATTCTTCTCTTCTGCAGACTAAACAATCCCAGTTCCCTCAGCCTTGCCTCATAAGTCATGTGCTCCAGACCCCTAATCATTTTTGTTGCCCTCCACTGGACTCTTTCCAATTTTTCCACATCCTTCTTGTAGTGTGAGGCCCAAAACTGGACACAGTATTCCAGATGAGGCCTCACCAATGTCGAATAAAGGGGAACGATCACGTTCCTCGATCTGCTGGCAATGCCCCTACTTATACAGCCCAAAATGCCATTAGCCTTCTTGGCAACAAGAGCACACTGTTGACTCATATCCAGCTTCCCCGTACACTGTGACCCCTGGCTCCTTTTCTGCAGAACTGCTACCTAGCCATTCGGTCCCTAGTCTGTAGCAGTGCATGGGATTCTTCCGTCCTAAGTGTAGGACTCTGCACTTATCCTTGTTGAACCTCATCAGGGTTTTTTTGGCCCAATTCTCTAATTTGTCTAGGTCCTTCTGTATCCGATCCCTACCCTCTAGTGTATCTACCACACCTCCTAGTTTAGTGTCATCTGCAAACTTGCTGAGAGTGCAGTCCACACCATCCTCCAGATCATTAATAAAGATATTAAACAAAACCGGCCCCAGGACCGACCCTTGGGGCACTCCGCTTGAAACCGGCTCCCAACTAGACATGGAGCCATTGATCACTACCCGTTGAGCCTGATGATCTAGCCAGCTTTCTATCCACCTTACAGTCCATTCATCCAGCCCATACTTCTTTAACTTGGCGGCAAGAATACTGTGGGAGACCGTATCAAAAGCTTTGCTAAAGTCAAGGAATGACACATCCACTGCTTTCCCCTCATCCACAGAGCCAGTTATCTCCTCATAGAAGGCAATTAAGTTAGTCAGGCACGACTTCCCCTTGGTGAATCCATGCTGACTGTTCCTCATCACTTTCCTCTCCTCTAAGTGTTTCATAATTGATTCCTTGAGGACCTGCTCCATGATTTTTGCAGGGACTGAGGTGAGGCTGACTGGCCTGTAGTTCCCCAGATCCTCCTCCTTACATTTTTTAAAGATGGGCACTACATGGTAGCCTTACATTGACCCCCCCCGCCCCACACTGTAGACTAGCCCTTTATGTAGTTTTGTAATTCCCACAATAACTCCACCAAAAGGCACTTCTCAGCAAGGCCATTAAAACAACAGATTTGTAATTTGTAGACACTTTGTAGAGATGAGCTAAAGTTAGGAAGATTTTCAAAAAACATGATAAAATATTTTAATACCCTTTTACTGTAAAATTCTTCCCCAGTCTCCATCCCCTTCCTCCAAACTTGTATGACAATAACGTTAAAAAGGTGATGTGGGATCTGAAATTTCCGGGGGATTCCTTTTTGGTTGAGTTAGAGAAGTGATTGAAAAATCTGGTTTGTAATGACAAGCTAGCTTCAACCTTTGTTATGGAGTGCTACCACCACTCCATATCAGCAAACATTATTGAGAATTTTAGTAAAGTAGCAGCAGAAACACCGTTGGGCTGAATAAGGCTAGTTGCTAATGCTTACAAAGCATTTTTTGTTTTGTTAATGAATGACACTGTGATTGTTAGCAGATAGTATATGGTATATTTTAATGGTGTTTAATGTCTGTGCACTTAATACCTTTGCTCCTGAGATTTACCTAGCTGCTTATATGCAAGTTGCCTTGACTCTGTGCTTCTTCCCCTTCCTGCCCTCAGAGTCCCAGTTATCCTTTAGACAGTTGTTTTTGGCCCAAAGCCATTTTCACTTCATTATAGGAAAACTAAGGTCTGTAATTGGATCTGCACAGATAGCCTTTTTGTCTCTGCTTGGGTAAATATGTCACTGTACAGTGGAAAAAGCAATCCAAATCCCTACTGATCTATTCAGCGTTAATTTGCACCAGCATGGATCCTGGGCCCCTCCCTCGCACAAAACATAATTCCCATGATTTATAGAAAAGCTCCAAAGAAAAAAAGGGAAGCCTATTCTGAAGCCAGCACTCCTGTCCTTCACCCTTGGCCCAGTTCCACTACTTTGTTCTCATCTACACTAGCAAAATAAGAAAGGAGTCTTTTACCCTTAGTTCTTGCAATAGAATTTAGATTAAAAGTAGTTTGAAGTCCACATACTGTTGCCAAAATAAAGGGAGTCATTAAAAATATTTTTTTTTCTTACATTCCCTCCCTGTCTCCTGCCCGAGCTGCCTCTCTTCATTATAATTTCCTGCAAACTGCCTCTGTTATCTCTGTTGCCTCCTGAACTTCTCCCCCCATTTATTTAACATAATGGGGGTAGTGATTTTTTTTTCACAGGTGAGTTCTCAGCTGTCCATCATTAGGAGCATCCAACCAGAATGTGACTTTTAGACTATTCGTGTTCAGTGTTGTACTCTAATATCACAAGAAAAGGTACCAGACAGGGAGTCTGCACCCTTTGAGTATGTCTGAGAGATCAGACTTAAAGACAATGTCTGGACATGGCTTAAACCCAGCAGGCTAAAAAGCAGATGGGATCCAAAGATTAGGTCCAATACAGCAGCCTGGTGATTGTCCACAAGGGGGAGCTCAACCTGGGCTGTGACACCCTCCCTCTTTATTTAACATTTAGTGTACCTGAGAGGTTGTGCAAGGTCACTGCTGGCACAATTGGGAATAGAATACAGGTTCTATTATAGTAGATTCAAGTCACATCCACTTAGGCATGCTGCCTTTCTACGTGAATGTTTCAGATATGTAATTGGCTATGTTATGTGTAGCTTAATACTCCGTTCCCCCCTCCCCCCGTCAGGAACACTGGATTCCTAGTTCTCAACCTTCCGCTGCTGTCTAGCAAATGGTTGTGTACCCATCTGTGAAGTGTGTATCATGGCCCCCCTCTTCTGGCTTGTTCACATAGAAGATAACAGCCTATTACTGCTAGACCAGTTACTCCTTTAGCTCAAGTGGTAGGGGTCAGTGCTATAGATGTAAAGGTCCAGGGTCAGTATGGTTCCACAAGATGGAATCTATTAGTTCAGTTTGCTTATTTTAAAAACTAGGGTGTTATATATAAAAAACTACATTAAAAGAACAGTAGGATTTTTAATTCAAACACTCAGAAGTTAGGAAATGCCAGAATTAAGGTTATTTATCCATTATGACAGTTATCAATTACATGATCACATACTATTTGCTCTGTAGGATGTTGGGCCCCATTCAGTGAACAGAACAGACAGTGAATGAAGTAAAGGGTTGTAAGAAGAGAAAGGATCTTCTCTTGTGTGAAGGCACTGATCTAGAACTGGCTGAAAAATTTTCAACGGAATTATTTCTGTTGAAAAATGCAGTTTCATTGAAATCGAAACATTTCATGGGAACGTCAGTTTGAGCAAAATTTTCCATGGGGGAAAAAGTCACAATGATTGATCTCAACTTATTTCATTTTGAAAAGGTCAAAATGTTTAGATTAATCTTTATTTTTATTTAATGTTTCAACTTTTATATTAAATTGTCATTTTATATACTAAAATTAATATATTGTTTTGACATTATACAAATTAAACATTTTGATGTTTCAGAATCAAAATTTTTCTGAATTTCCTTCCTGTAAGAAATTTAAAAAATTGAACTTTTCGGAACAAAAACAAATTTTAAAATGTCAAAGTTGCCTGTGGAAAGGAAATTCCTTTTTCTGATCAGATCCATTTAGGACCTAAGATATCAGGATTCCGTTTCTGTTTCTGGCTGTGACACAGACTTCCTATGTAATGTTCAGCAGGATTATCCATGCTTGTGTTTAAGGTGGCCAAATTGAGATTGCAAGGAAAAATTTAATTCTGGCGTTTTCCAACTGTTGAGTGCTTGGATTGGTGCCCTTTATGTTTTTTTAGTGTAGATTTAGTATGTAATATAATTCACTATTATGGTTCCTAGTGTGTTAAGAATAATATTATTCTGTTCTCATAGTTGCGTGGCTCAGTCTGGATAGTTCCCTTACTGATGAGATTATATCCACAAAGTAGGATTTATCTTTAGTACTATGGGCCTGAGTCTGCAACCCTTGCTCAATGTGAATACTTGCATGAAGGTCTATATGCATAGCAGTTGTAGGATTAGGCCCTAAGCACTGTTAGATAATCAATCAAGCAGCAGCACAACTAATTTTGGGAGAAACCTGCTTGACCACTCTTCTGTAATGTCCTGGGTCTGGAACCTAGGCTTGGGAGTTTCCAGACAGCTGCTGCA